CTCATTTTAAATGCTTATGTCTATGGTGCAAAATGACAAGAGAGCTGAAGACGAGATGACCAGCTAGCACCGTTGCAAAGATAAGAAAACTGTTCGTTGTAGCAATGGATTAAAAAAAGTCGAAACCTTTTGTGGTTGAAGATTCAAAGCCGGAAGCTGCAACTGCCTTGTCTGTGTTTTTGAGAAGTCCAGTGGTGGCATGTTGCCAAAATTCCCGGTCAGTGTCCACCAGATTCTAAAAAATTTAGCACAATTAAAGTGTAAATTTTCTATGCCATTTTTTCTCAGCAAAAGTTGGAGCAGAATCCTTGCCTCTCAGCCTCCTGTTTGGTAACCCTTAGCACGATCAAACACTTTCCGATAATACTGACAGAAGATGTCATAACTGTTGACACTCAGATCTGTTAAAGGTGACAAAAGGGGCGTAACGAAGTGGCTGACCAAGTCCCTCAATTATGCTTTTCACCGGCCCCATACTGTTTCCGTGTCACTTTACCTTGCGCTTCTCATACCCGATTTATCACTGCTGTTCAAGCCTTTCGCCGCCCTGTTTTAACAAAATCATAATTTTTTCACGAGCCCCTCCTGACATTTAATGAAGTTCAGCTGCAGATCCCACTGTCTACCATGTTCATTCATCTAAGAAATGCTCATAAAGACAAACTAATAGACATCACGTTTACGTCGAAAAAGTAAGTAAATGGCCAGCGCACCGACTGCCGGCACGAAGGTGCGTTTTTTGCATAATTCCTCGCAGGTTTTTGTCGCTAACGGCACTGTTTTTCCGGCAGATCTTGTAGTTAAAAGAATTGAGACTGGCCACCAAGACTTCTGAAAACATCCCCCTGAATCTTCAGCTTTCTAGTTTTTCCAATTCCCGAGTTACCACATACCGGCAAAAAATTTTCACGGGAAGGACGTCACGCCTGGGGACTAAATTTGAAGTCGCTAGATTGTTTGCGGATGGGAACACCCCCTTAAAATTTCAGCTTCCTAGCTTTTCAGGATCTCGATTTAGCAAACAACCCGCAAAAAACTTTACGGCCCATGCATGGGACATATATGAGTTTGAACTCATTAAGACCTATGTGGACGAGGACATCCCCTTAAAATTACAGCCTTCTAACTTTTCAGGTTTCCGAGTTAGCGGCTTACCCGCCAAAAACATCGACGGGACCGGATGTGGGAAACACGTGGGTAAGAGCGTCCATTTTGGAGATGGGAGCCCGTACTTGCATACGGATCAGGTTCCCAAAGTTTCAGACCTGTAGCTTTTATAGGCCACGAGATGAAAAATCGATACAGATACACATAGACAACCCCTCGGCAATATGCGTTTTTTGCATGGCACAAGTGCAGAAAACGCATAAAAAAAGTTGTCCTGCCAAACTTGAATAACGCTCTCTTCGAATCGAATCTAACTTCTTCAAAGCCACTCGTTTATAATCCTGGTAGTGCAACATCAAAGACCCGTTCCAATCACTCCCTTCTACCAGTTCAGTGTCCCACGCAGTCAAAAATGCGGAAAACATTAAAAACCCCGTTCAGTACCTTAAAAAAACGCATTGGGGCCCCTCGCCCCACATTCATTAGGCTTCTAGATAGTCGAAAAAAGGGGGGCTGAGCAGTTGTTGAAAAGGGTAGAGTCACCAAACAAAACAATCGCTTTATCAATCTTTCTACGTAAGACAGCCTTCGGAACTCAACCACAGCTTATCGATTTTCGCTTCTCAGCTTATCTGCTCTCTGTCACAAAAAGCAACCGAGCCTGGAAGCGAAAGGAAAGGAGGAGCTTAAATATGCAAGGATTCTACACTGTCACTGATCTCAACGAGGCCTCAAGAAGTTTTTTTAAACGGTTTTTTCAAAAAATTAGCAAGATTTTTCTTCTGTTTGCAAGAAATTTAAAGAATTTTCCCTTCCAGACAAAAAAAAAGCAGCGGCCCACACCAGGGTAGCCGGTGCGATCATGCGTTTTGCACAGCTGCGAATAGAAGACGCAAAAACGCTTAATAAAAAAACGAACTGGCTTTCAGACATGATTTCATCTTGTGAGCGCACTTGTACTGGTGCTAAATCCTCGGT